TCCTCGACCGGATAGGTTCTGTCGCATATCGACTAGAACTCCCGGACAGCATGCATAGGATACATCCAGTATTTCATGTATAGAAGATTAAGCCTTATAAGGCAAGTGGCAGAGTACAGCCACCCCCAGTACCTATCGAGATCGAAGGTGAACTGGAGTATGAAGTTGAACGTATCCTTGACAAAAGGATTAAAAAGCGTGGGAGACGCAAAAACTATGTTGAGTACCTTGTCAAATGGCTGGGATATGGACATGAGCATAACAGCTGGGAATCAACAAAGTCAGTTGCAAATGCACAGGAATTGGTTCAAGCATTTGAAAATGGCGGAACACCTGTGATGCGAATGCAAACTGCATGAAGTACGGGATGTACATACTGAAACATGCTCATGTGTGCTTATGCTTTTGACAGGTTCTCTTGCGCTGGGCCCAGAAAAACACTGGGTATACTGCCCCCCGTGCAAGGTCGCAGTTTGGACACATGAACGCCATGTCCGTTGCGATCCTCAACGGGGAGAGGTTGCAGACCGCCGACCCCTACGTGCCATTTCCCCGTGCGCCTGAGCGTGCACGCGGACGTGGGCGACGGCGGGGTGCCGCACCGGGCCGATCTGTACCGGCGTGGGCTTTTGGTGGTGCTCGGCATCGTGGTCGCCGATGAAAGGCCGGGAGGTCAAACATTTCCAGCCACTTGGCTGAGGAAGAGTTTTAATGAGGGTTGTGAAGGCCGAGACGGTCATGTAAAACAACCACTCTTTCTCTTCATCCAAAACTGTTTTGTGTGTTGTGTTTTGTTAACTGGGCATGTGGCAAATCGCACAGCCAGTTCCACCAACATACATACAATGTTTCTGCTCCCGTATCCACTTATACTTGGACGAGGACGCCCCTCTCCCTGAGGGGGACGAATGTTACGCGCACCAGCCTGATGTGGGAGACGTCCTACTAATGGCCCTTGGTGTGGGGACGCCCTGCCCAAGGCACGTACTATTCCTCACCCACTGTAACCTTTATCCATATTAGGATACGGGAGTAGGAGGGGTGGTCCCGCCTAGGTGCCCTGTAAGGACCTAGGTGCCCGGCGAGGCGGGTCCGCGGCTCAAAGAGGGCAGGAACCCCACACCCACATCCTATTCGTAACAGTGAAGACCGGGGGGGAGTTCCTCCACCCGAAGGTCAACCCAGGGGCCTCGAAGAGCTCCTCGTTGATCTGAAACTGAAAGTAGGACACGGAGCGGTCCTCGATCCGGAGATGATGGAACGCGTCGCGAATGTCCCACGCCACAAGGAACTGGCCCGGTCGGAGGGCGGGGAGGAAGGAGCGGAGAGTCTCGAACTTGGTGCTGATCTTGCTCGTATGGCTGTTGATGTGCCGCAGGTCCACCACCAAGCGGAAGCCGCCGTCCTTCTTCGGCACCAGGAAAGCGCGGGAGACATGGGTCGGGGGACTCCGGGAGCGGCGGAGGGCACCCGTCTGGAGGTAGGTGTCGCGCAGCGCCTCCCACGCCGTGAGTGCAGCCCCCGCAAGCCGGCAGACCCCGTGATGGAACGGGGCTGGGGGATGACCGGTCCAAACCACCGGGACACCCTCCCGAATCCAACAAAGGACAAGGGAGGAGGCGCCCAGTTGGCGCCAAACGCCGATCGCCCGGCGGGGTTGAAGATGAAGCGCCCCATTCCCCGAGGGGGGGCGGGGTGGCGGAGTTTCCGGCCGAAGGGCCCCCGTCGGGGGGGCAAGATCGTGGCCGGGGGGCATTGCCGCCGCCAATACGCAGCTGGCGCAAGGCCGCAGCGATGGCAAGGAGCTCCCGCTCGGAGCTCATGAATCGGAGAAGGGGTTGCCCGAGGCAGGGGGCGCACCCCGACCCCGCCCGGAACCGTGACCGCGGCCGCGCGAGTGGCCGCGGGGGCCGGACCCCGAGGCCCCGTCCGAGTGGGAACCGGAGCGGTCGGAGCCGCGGCTGGAATGGCGGGCCCGGGCGGCGCCGTCCGCCTGCGCCTTGACGGTAGCCTTCTGGATCTGGGCCCGGATCAAGTTGGTCGTCTCGCGCTCGAGGTCGGTGGTGTAGTGGGCCGCCGATCCCGCCAACTGAATGTTGGTCTGGAGGGACTTGTACGCCTCGGAGAGGGGCGTATTGGCGTGGGCGGCCTGCGTCCTCCGAACCACCAAGGTAGAGACCGCGAGGTTGGTGCACTGGGCGTAGAGGGAGACGATGGGCTCGAAGGCCGCGCGGACGGCAGCGGGGACCTCCGGGCACGCCGCCAAGGCGATGAGGCGGAGCTGCAGATCGTAGAGGAAGGAGACGATCGGCGCCCAATTGGCGTACTCCGCGAAGTAGCCCGAGCGGGGGCCCAAGGCCTGGGCAAGATGTTGACCGTCGGCGGTGTCAAGGACGTCGAACCACTGGCCGAACGCCGCGGGGGGCCGAGGCACCGGATTCCGCGGAGAAGGGGCGATGTTGGCGCCCGAGCGGAGAACCAGGAGCTGGGCGAGCGAAGGATCCTGCGGGGCCCCGAACTCCTGGGCCAAAGCCACAAGGCGACGGGACGAGTCCTCGGCGGCCGCGGCCGCGATTGCCTCGGCCGTCTGGGGTTCCGCGGGTGCCGAAGAGGCAGCCCCGGCGGATCGAGTGAGGAGAGCCTGGAGCGCCGCCACCAAAGCCTCGGGGCTGAGGGTGGGCTCCTCGGGCATGGGGGAGCGAGGCGATAGCCGGAAAGCTCCGAAGGGGTGCAAAACACGAGCCGGAGGCTCGGCGCAACAGATCCTTTCGAAGGATCGAAGCAATGTTCCCGATTGGGACCGGGCTCGCTGCAACCAAGAGCGGTTGGAGCGAGAAAACAAAGTGCAGACTGATGGCGCGTCGCCTCCTTAGGCCTCGGCGCCGCCAAACCGTTCCCGAACGAGCCGAAACCCGGCCCCAAGGACCGTTGTCTCCCTTGGGGCCCCAGCAGCAGCATGTTCCCGCGCAAACTGGGCGCCCTGCTGACAGAGCACTGTCGGGTAGCAATTTTTTCGCCCGCCCATCTTCGGGCCTCCCGTAAACTAGCTTACTGGACGTAACCATCCCGTCCCCAGTCAGGTCGCCTCGACCCTACACGGTTTCGTCACCACCACATCAATTAAATCAATGAGATGTCCTTCCATTTGCGCAGTCGGGGGACCTATCCAACCAAAATGCGGCGGGAGGCGAGGAAGGCAGGCAGGCCTGATGTCGGACCGGTCAGTAACGGTTTGGCAGAATGACAGTTAAAAATTGGCAGATAATCGCAGGCTGTCAGAAACACAGCAATGTGCTTGCTGACAAAGGGAGTTGATGACGCGCTTTTTAATGAACAACCAGATCGTACCCAACTGTTTGTACAAAATGTTCCCATTCTACCACGCACCCTTGCACTCCAGCACCAGCGAAAGCATCAAAAGTGGTCGATCGGGATATCCGGTCGACCACTAGGCCACCTTGTGCAGCAACTTTTCCCACAGTGCGAGTCCCACGAGCACACACACTAGAAGAACACCCAAACATGCATAGAAAAGAGCGCATGTTGCTCATTCGTATCCTAACATTCCTTTCACGCCTCTTGATGGCGTGCAATCTCCCTTGGGGGCACCACCTCAGAGCCTACTCGACAACCTATATCCTACACGCCACCCCGGCTGCTCGCCCACCACCAACGCCAGCTCCCACAGCTCTCAAAGTACCCAAGAATGTTGGCACTTTCCATGTCAAATGTTCTGGAGACACTGCTTGCAACCCAGTGTGGACATGAACTGTCAGGACCCACTGATCTTTTTGATAAAATAGACTGAACATTCGCTCCTACCGCACTTAAAGCTAGCCACAAGAGTCGTGAGCGCTTTCCATGTCGAATGCTCCACAAATACTGCTTGAATCTCAGTGTGGGGACAGACAGATACGACCCAAAGGACTTGCCGATGACCTCTGGCCACTGGTGACCTCACCTCAAACCCCACCCTCCTCAGATGAGTGTAGTGGGGTTTTCACTCCCCTCCACTCTTCCGCACAACGAACATCTCCACGATCAAGACTGGTAGGCACAACAGCAGTTGGGAGCAATGCAAAGAGACCACACAGTCCCACAGGGATGGTGCCTAAACAGTTCACAATTCGATGCCTACTATCTCCACTATGCTCTGTGCCCTATGTGCAGCAAGACCAGTCATAACCAGTGGCAATCTCAACGATGAAACAGCAATCCTCGGCACATTCTGAAGCTGTGTTTGCAGTGCTCACAAACCACGACCACCATGCCACAATGCCCAGATCAGAAGGCAGTGTTTCAGCGGCTTGCACCAAATCCCTTGAAGAGATGTGCCTGTGTATTTGATGAGAAAATTCGCCCTGCCTTGATGGTGGATTGCCAGCAACCACACACTATACTCCACTGCAGCTGATGGCAGCAACCACACAGCAGTTCTTGGCAAACGTTGCACAACATGTGCATCAATCTGCAAAAAATGCACAGGTGCCCGCCACCATGCTGCTCTCTACCACAGTTGAGAGGTTCCTATACAAATGTGTGATGAACCTATTGACCCGCACTACCTCTTGATCGTCCTCATAATACATACTTCCTGGGTGCAAACTCAGCAGCATCACATCGGCACGCATCCCAAAAGGCCCTTATTCTTCAGGAGGCTGTCTGCGCAAGGGGGTTTCTGGACGACCTTCCACCCTTTGTTATTCACACAGGGCTGTGGAAGCCATTCACAGCCCTCCAACAGCAGCCATGCGGAAATTTGGACGAGGTGCAGCCTTGCTGGCTCGCAGGAGCACACACCCCTCCAATAGAGGCGCCGACTCCATCCTGGCCTGGGGTGCAGGGAACGCTATCACATGCCAGTTGTGGCCTTCTGTGCTGGGATTTCCAAGGGGTGTGCGTTCTGATTCGCACAAAGAAATAGAGTGTCCAGTGGCACCCCAAAAGAGCCCAGCAACAACAAACGGCTGTATGTCAAGCCACGGAAGTGCTGGATCCCATCAAGCTGGGCGACCCATCGCCACCTGTTGGTTTGCAGGCATGTCAAACGGGCTGGCGGGCAGGGGTGGCACCACCCCCATAATCTGGGACATGCCCTTGTCAGCCTTGCTGGACCTGCTGCTTTCCGACGGGTCCTGCGCAGGGTCGAGGTTCCCTGATTCGTGCCCACCACCTCCCCCTCCGACGCCTGTGGGCTCTCCAGCAGCACCTTCCTCAGCTGGTGGGTCACCACCTACAGGCTCTGCAACCAAAGGTGCACTTGGGCCCTCCGTCCCTTCAATCCCATCTCCTGCCTGATCTCTTGCTGTGGCGGTAGGTGGATCCACCACACCAGCATCTGTCTCTTCTGTCATCACTGCCTTCACACCACTGGGAGAGCCAGCGCCTTGGCCGCTGCCATCTCCGCGGACACCTTCCGCCACCATTTCGGTTTCCTTCACCACCTGGGAAAAAACGAGACCCATGTTGGTGTGCAAGGTAACTATTCCAAGCCACCAGCACAGCCACTGCATGCTGCAAGACAGAGCATGCACAAAGGCACAGCAAGTTGCAAATGGTGAAGCATCCAACGCGGGGAAAACTCTCGACTTCGCTCATGTCCAGGACTGCCGACTTCCACTTTGCATCAGTTTCTTTTACAACAAGAGCAAACTTATTTGATAACAGCCTCAGCCATACAGACCACCATAACAATTCATTCCTGCTGCAACACATCATTGACACAAGCAGGTCTGTGAAATTTCCTGATCTCTCAGCCCCTGCTGCTGCTTCTGCATATTTCTGATCAAAGCCTTTCCTCTTTGTCCTCTTTACCGGGGGCCTGGGCCCCTCTTCATCTGTGGCGCTTTGTGCACTTGCTAGTGTTCATGCTATTTCCTGCTTGTTGTGCGTCACAGCCAGTGAGGTGTGGAACTCCGATCGCAAGAGAAGAAACACAGTCCAGCTGGATATCAGTGTGTCTGTCATCGCCCATCACAGGGCCAGGGCTTTCTTGTCATGTGCTTCTGGCACATACAGTCATATGGCCATGCTTTTTAATGAGACAAAAGAATTGTGCCCAGCACTCTAAGGTAAGGCGATTGTCTACCCACCTGTGGCATTTCCTTGAGTTTGAGAACTTTCAGCCTGCTCGCAGCAGATTCCTCCCTCTTTATCTCCTCTAGTCGAAACACGATCGCTTCAAAACTGGGCGGGCGGTCCATGGGTTCGTCCTCCCAGCACTGTTGCATCAGTGCAACATATTCATTCAACTGATTGAATTTTCCCCAGGGCGGGTCCTCCAGGCGCCCATCCGGCAGCCTATTCACTGGTGGGCGACCCCCCTGAAATAGCTCGTACCGAATCTTGCTATAAAAGTTCTCCTTGTTCAGCCTTTGCCCATTTGCTGGCTTCAAGTGGTCCCAAGGCGTCCGACCAGTCAAAAGCTCCCACAAGATGATGCCAAACGAGTAGACATCTGCAGCAATAGTGAAGTCCCTGCCCTTGGCCACCTCTGGCGCCAACCACATCGGATTGGAAGGGCGCGCTGAGGAGACCAGATTCTGGTTCAAGTTGTGGTGGCTATCCTTGGACAGATTGAAATCGCCAACGCATGCAGAGACGAAGTCGCGATCCACAAAAATGTTTGGAGATTTTAAATCCCTGCAGGGGCAACAAAGCAGACATGAGGTGGAGGCACAGTGCTATGGACAAGTTCCATTTGTTCACAAGGTCCCCTTGCCTGAACAAAATGAGTAAAGGATGCAGCAAGTGTTGACTGGTGACCCAGAACACTGACTTAATGGATGAAACATGGCAGCACAGCACAAATGACCAGACCCAAGTTCAACGATGGTCAATGCACCCTTCGCCCTTCACATACATGAGATATGCTAAGCTTGCAGCCACAATCCAGTCATACCACACAAAGCACACAACCCTGCACTCACCAAACCCAGCACAAGTATTACACCAAGGCCGTCACAGAAGAATCTGCAGTGCCAAAACCAAAACCACACAAACCTGTGCAAGATCGGTTGATTCCTCTGGGAATGCAGAAAGTGCATTCCACAACCCGCTGCGATTGCAATCCCCAGGCGCTTCTCACAAGTCAGCCTGCGCATGACCCTTGGGTCTGCCCGTGCACGCCTCAGCACATCGTACAGAGAACCCTCCTCATAGTACTGCATCACGACAAAGGGAGGGTCCCCGCACACTGCCAGAATGTTCACAATGTTTGGATGTCGAACAGTCGACAAGATCTGGGCATCTTTAACCAGGGCACGCATGGCCTTCCTGGAGTCTGCTTTGTTATTTGCCTCCTTGATGATTATGTCTTTTGCCAGGTATTTCCCTTTCTTCACCTGCGGGACACAGAACAGAGCTCAACAGACCTGGCAGCGTGTTGCGAGCATCCAGCATCGTACCTGCAGTTCAGATCTGCACGCTCATGAAGTGCCTATTCAATACACCAATCACTGACCGTCAACCATGCACTTCTACAAAGTTGATAAGATTGAAACATTCATTTCATGTACACCAATTCGCCAGCCCAATCCAATCCAGAAAAGAGCATGGTACCAAGTTCTTATTGTGAACACCAAGTGCGTAAAGCAGGTAAGACAGCTGGCTAGGACTAGGAAGTGCAAATTGTCCCAGAATCGCCCACCGTGGCAAAGTCGCCTTCCCAGATGGTCTCCCCGACGGTCAATTCTTCCCTGTCGACGACCCTGACGGATTCGTTGACCTCATTCACGATCATCCGCTTCATGGATGACTGCCTCAGCTCGCCCATGTTCGCCTCCAGCTTCTCTCTAGGCCAGTACAGAATCCGGCCACGGTCTGAAACAGTGAACAGGCAGTCGTGGCCCCCCACAGCACAACGCAAGCCGCTAGGGTGTGGAAACTCAGCGATCGTTCGTGGCACGAATGGGTAGATCTCATCCTCATCCACCACAGGGGTTGAGGATGTCAAGCCACGGATCTGAGGCGTTGGAAGGCGTGCCATCTGGACAGAGCCATCACGATGGGCTGTGCACATGAGGCCCATGGACTCCCACACAACCAGGGACCTGTGAAGCCGTTCAACATATCCACCATCAGAATGCCCACCCAAGGTTTCATGCAATACACTCAACCACCTATAACAAACACACCCTGCTGTACAAATCTGCACTACAGCTGCACAACAGCTTGCATCCAGTGCTTCGCTCAACAGCAGCCGCAATATCCCAAGCACTTGTTGGGCAGGGAGAAGAAGGGCAAAATCCAGAGTGCCAATGTGCAACAACACATGGAATAAAGAAAAAACCTCGCGCATGTGCCAACAATAAGGCAATATTGCAAGGCATTTCCGCAAACCTTATTGGGCTCTTCCTGAACTCGATCTCCAGCAGGGGCTGGAGGCTCTTCAACCCGGGGTCCCACAGCAGCAGCTTTCCGGAGTCATGGGCTGTCAGCAGACGCCAATCCTGTGCGTCTTGATCTGCTGACCCTCCCTGTCCTCTGTGCCATGGGACAGATGCAAAGCTTGAGCATGGACCTGGTGAGCCCCACACAACTGGATTGTTGGTATGGCAAGAAACAGTGCGCTGGAGGATACCTTGCAAATTGATATGGGGCTGGACAACCACCCCTTGTTTGTCGCAAAACAAGGTTCTCTCAGGAACACCCCTTGTTGAGGGCCCTGGGCTACAGAGCACCTCTTGCCAAAATTCAGAAGGCGAACACCTTGGTTCTCACCTCTTGACTCACACAAAAACTTGCCCAATAATATGTAGTTCTCACTCCACATCTTTATGGTTCCAAGGTACCACACGCGGCCACCAGAGCTCCAGACCCTGCCACCCTTTGCGAATATGCAACGTATGTGACTCCTGTGTGCTCGATTGTGCCATTGCATGTTGCGCATAGCCTCAGACAGCCTTCCCACATAACTGCCTGTGGAGCGGTTGACCATTCGACCTGTAGTACAGGAACAAAAAGGATCGTTGCAGCGCTGAAAACCCAGCTGTATGGCCTTGCTAAACTACCGGGAAATATTGATCATTGCACCCATGACTTTGGAGTCCTTTCTGAAGACGTTCTCCAAATTATGGCAAATCAATGCCCTTGCACCTTTAGGAGAGACCAAGCCTCTCAGCAGTCGGCGACATGCCTTGTGCAGCTTCATTGGTGGGTCACACTGTGACAAACACCATCTCTCGGTTTGAGATAGCTGAATTGGTCTCCCAGAGAGAATTTTACAATGGCGTGGCCCCAATGCCTCACTTGCTTGTCGGCCACTGAAGGGGACAAGATTTGGGGACTCTTGGAGAGGCTGCTTTAGCAAACAAGCCAACTGCAGGTAATGGTTGAAGGTACGAAGGTAAAACTAGTGAATTTAACAACAGGAGACCATTTCTTCCCAGCGAACATGTTCTTTGACGTTGTTGGCCAAATGAGCTATTTAGGGAGCCTTGGCTGACGCATCTTGCTAGGCAAGTCGCCTCCTGTGCTAATCATCCCAGTACTGTGCCCAGGCACCGACAAACTGGCAGGGCACTTCAGGTGCGTCGAAGCTGAAACAATGATTGCATACAGGCACAACTTGCACAAGGAAAGGCAACAGGCACACACCCGCCATCCCCCAAACAGCGGAGTTGCATGTCATCGCATTGCACGTACAAGGGCATTGCTTTGGCGTATATTGACAAAAGCATTCCAAACCTAAGCTGACAGCTGATCGGCTTTGGGCAACCAGCAACTGCTGAGGGTGGGATGATGTGTGACTCCAGGAGCACCTACCTGGAACTGGATTATGATAATGCACCATGGCCAGTAACAGTAGCAACCTGGCAGCGGTCCATTGCATGCAGACGCGCAACGCTGGAACAGAATAAGGGTGATTCAGTTCCTGGCCGGAACAACCAACGCATTGTTGGCTAAAAGTGCACCCAAAGTCCGCCACAGGTGGCATCTATCCCTACCCCATGGAGGTTCAACAATATTGTTGATTTCTCAGTGTCTGCATTCCCAGCCAATCCGGCTATTTGTCCAGCGCAGTGATTCGGCAATTGTGAAACAAGCTTGCAGCAAGCCAACAGCAAATTTCCACTGTTTTGCATGTACCGCTTGGGCAGCGCCAAAGCAGCAGACTACCTGTGTGCTTTGGCCAAGGGCAAATGTACTTCTTCCTGTACTTATGCAGCTTAGACAGGCATCTTTGCTTCCAATTATTTAAGATTTGATCCCCAGCACTTAAAGCACCTCTGAATTATCACATGTAATGACTTTCAAGTCACTACACACCAACTTGTCCCTTTTGAGACAAGTGCAATCTTCAGACACACCCACAGCTCGCTGGATAGCTGTGACAGGTAACAGGTGAGGGGCATCTGCAAATGGAGCACCAGCTCTGTCTTTCTTGGTGAGGGAACTTGGGCGCAACAATGTGAGGCCACAGTGCCCCCTTCCTGCCCTTTGCTCCACGTGGACACTGCTGCTTCCAGTTAGGTCCTGGCTCCAATTAGGTGCTGACATTACAGATGCACAAGACATGCACAGAATGGAGGCATGATCTGTTTTCCTATGTAATCGAAGCTTAACAGCACTGAACGTTTGTCTGCAGCATGCCTGCCGGGCCCCCACTCCGCCTCCACTAGTCCAGGTTTCCTTGCTGCAGCACCCACATGCACAACAAAGGGATCGCTGCCCTGTGAATCTGCAGACATGTTTTGTGAAGAATGAGCAATTTAGATCCACAGCCCGCTAACCAACGAAACGTGAGAACAAAAGCACCTCCTCACATTGTGCTGGAGGGAACTTACATGATTTGCTTGGGTCCGTTCCACTTGAGGTGAGTTCTCCATCCTCTGGCACAGTGTCTATCTGGTTTGTAGGCCTCGTAAGGGGTCCGCTTTTGAAGTAGTTGCTACCAGACACCAGACGCCCAACAGGACACTCGCTGGGAGCCAGCGTGTAGTCTGCAGTCAGCTCCGCTGGCATCTCACCATCGCCCAAGTGGAGCTGGATGACCCTTATGTTACCACTGTCAGCACCCACCCATGCCACATAGGGAGACACCATGCAGATCGACCTGTGTGCAGGGTGAGGCAGAGAGCTCAGCTGCAAACATGCAAATGAGGTCAACCATCTGTTCACACAGGCACAGGCTGTGATGCCCATTAAGGCAGTCTTCCTGGCAGGGGCAAGCGCATTGGACATGCAGCAACGACACCTTGTGCAGCTGCACTTGTTCAATGTCTTTTCCTCCTTGATGTGGTGCCATCGCTCTTGTGAGTCTGAGGGCAAGCACCAGAGTTGACAATGCTGAAGGTTTGTGCTGTCCGTGCTCTCAAACATGCGCCCACCGGTGCAGGATATAGTTTAGCACACACAGTGCAGTAAACTTTGTGCTTGTTGAAACTCTTTCTGGGCAAATGTTCGACTGCTGCTCTGTACCAACATCCCAGTGCAAGCAAGAGTAACAAACCAATAAGTCAATCGCGTGCGGCGATTCTTCACAACTCAATACCAACCATCGTGGCTTGCTGCACAGTGATGCTGATTGACCTGACAGTCTGTGGCACTCCAGTGCCAAATATTGCCATTCATGTGATCACAGGTGACAAGTGCTTTAAGCTCAGGTTGCTCCACATTCAACAGGAACTTGAAAATCTTCTGTGGAGAACAGGCAGATTGCAATAAAGGCATATGCCACCAAAGCAGGCAACAGCTGGACAAAATTCTTGTTGTGAAAATCATCACTTATTGGTCTGCACCAACCTCAAATCAGTACTGGTTGGTTGCTCAATATCTCAGTCCTGTGCTGTTCAGGGGATGATGTTATTCATTACTCACCTGACACAGCTTCGGAATGCCTTCAACGACTTGGTCACCTGCCTTCCAAGCCCATCCCAGACACACACCTCTCCCCATCTGTGCCCTGTCCATATGTACTCTGAACCACTGATGCTGCAATGGGCCATGCACCTCACGCTCCTCCTCAGCTGCTTCCTTGGGGTTTTGGACGAGTCAGAGGTGCTGACGTCCTTGATGATGAAACGACCACCCTCCACCCACCACATGTTTCTAGATTGTTCTGTGCAGATAGATGGAAACAACATGAGAACCTTGGATCTCCCAATCTGGTCATCTTGATGCCAGCCAGGCACTCAATCCTCATACATTGTGACAACCAACAGAGTTGCCATGGACTGGTCGCCTGGCGCTAAAAGGGGAAGCCAACAGAATGGCGCCAACCTGATTGCCGGGAAGACCCAGGAGACAGTGCTTTGCAACAATCCTAGTTGGGAATTCGCCGATGTTCCTTGCAGTTCCCATCTGTAGCGCCACATGCATCGATATTGACAATTCTACAAAGCCACGGCATTCTCTATTGATTATCATCTCGTCAACAGCTAATCAAGAAACAGGACAGAATCATGTCAACATTTGACATGTTGACCAAATGCATTCAAGTTGACCCTAGCTAAAGGCAGTGCGAGCTCTGCCATCAACTAAAAAGAAACAAATGGCTCATACACTCCCAAAAGCTGCCCACTACCTGCAAACATGATGGTCTTGATCGGTTTGCTGGTGAAGGCAGGAAAGCACATGCAGTTCACATCTTTTGATGAGGAAAAGCCTGCGTACATACAGCCATATGGACAGCCTTTTTAGCGAGTCACACCCTATCACGTGCAGGTATACATATTGGCCAGTCCCACTCGGAAATTCCCCAAAAGGCACAAAAGCCTTGTACATTCTCAAATCACTAATCAGCTTGCTGCTTGAAGTCAAAGGTGTCATGCAAGGCACAAAGATGTGCCCTCACTATCTCAACAGGAAAAGGGGTGTGGGGTGGAGGGGCTTAGTACCCAAACAAGTGTAACCAACCACAGTTGCAAAACAACTTCTGTCCAGTCTTGCAATTTGCTGCCGCAGTGCCTTGTGGCACTCTGTTCCTTCCAGTGAGGAGGGTTTGATTTTCGCACGAGGGGAGCAAAAAATGTGTAGCAGTGCAATACATAGACAGTGTACAGCAGTGCAATACATGCGCAGTGTACAGCAGTGCAATACATGCTTCTCCATGCTGCAGGACATAATGCAGACGTCTCTGACGGCTCAGGGTAAGACTGGGCACAAACGGCATGTGTGACAGCACATTTATCGTGCTGGGGTGGGCATGATGCTCACATGTCTGGTTTATGTCCCTGACCACCCTACACCCTGGAATGTGGTCCTCGCTATGAAGAAATCGCCCCTGTGCCCTCTGGGAGAGGCTGATACTGCCCCCACTCGTCATACCGGACGCCAGCCTGCTCGCCACACACAAACCGGGTGAGAACAGCACTGGCAGCTCAGGCAGCCAAGGAACCAGTATGCAACAAACAGGTGCACCCAGCGTCAGAGGATCTGTTCAGCAATGGAAAGGTGAAACACCATGCCACCCACCAACCGTAGGAAATGACGACTGGCAGAAGTCAGGGGCGGCCCGACGGCTGACCAGGATCAGCACGCGTCCAAATCCGCAGGCGCGGCGCCCCAGCGTGGGTCCTCAACGCTTTCAAAACACCACAGCACGGAAATGACCTCGGGCGCAGGAGCCCAGCGCGGTTCCCCTCTCCACGGTGGGCCACCGTCCGCGGCAGTCTCAAGGTCTCGGCGCTGCCGTGCTCCCTCGGACTCTAGTACAACTCCCCGCCAGACAGACGGTGATGCCGAGCCCCAGCCGGTGCCCCTACCCGCCCCAGCGGACTTTGGCCAACGCGGGGCACCCAGCCATAGCAGCGGCGCCCGCGGACACCTGCAGCGTCCCCTCACTGGCCCACACCCACAAACATAGGATCTTCCGCGGGGCAGAGGCTCCCGAACGCCAGTTCCATCGAGCTGACCTCGCGCGCATCCAGCCGCCCTCCCCTCCCCGCCGTCCACCCCGTCAACTCGTCCTCACGCCGACCCGGTCAACCATCCCCCCCTCCCTCCGCGCGAACTCTGACAAGCGGGCCATGAGACGCCATGCCGCGCATGCCAGGGCCCCGACGTCCGTCTGCACCACGGCGCGCAAGCCTCTTTCCCGAAAGCCGTCCCCCAATCATCCTCTCCCTCCCCCCTGGCCTCCTTCCCAGTCTCCTCCCCCGCCACCGCGGTCCGCAGATCCGGCACCAGAACCCCTCGGAGGAACTACTGGCGCGGCCCCCGCAGCCCTAGCGGCCACGGCTCCGCGGAGTCATCGCCGCGCCGCCCGCGGGCGCCCGGCCTTCCCCTCAACACGCCGGCCGCACCCGCCCACCGGCCATCCCAGTCACCCAGCCAGCCCGCCATCGGCATCGTATCGCTTTGCGCGGGCCTTCGCCACGCCCCCGGCGGAAGCTCTCACCCCGACTGCCCCGCCCTGTACTCGCCGCTCCTCCTCTCGTACTGGCCCAGCCCCGCGTCCCCATCCCCGCTCGCCACCCGCCGTCCGGCTGCACCTCCGCGCGCCATCCCCCCTCCCACTCCGTACGCGCCGCCCCGGCGGGGTACCCCCCGGCCGGTGTGTGCCTGACTGGGCGCCCCCTTGCGCCGACTGTGGACCCCCTGTGGGCCCTCGGAGCCCCACGGCTACAGCCGACGGCCCTCCGGCCACCCCCGCCGCGCCTGGCTGCCTGCCGCCCTGGAGAGAGCGCTGGGAGGCCGCCTTCAGCCCGGGCGCCGCAGAACGAGGCGGTGGAAGTTCATGGCGCAATACGGGCGGGGAGCGCACCCGCTTTGCAGGCCTGGGCGGGCCTACGGCCTGGGAGTCAGGCGGGCCTGATCCCCCAGGACGATCCGGAGGTACGGTGATGAGGGGGAGTATCGCATATGGGTGCGCGATACGGATGCACGCGTGGGGTGTGTTGCACCTTCCCCATACAATGGCCACAAAATGAAGAAGATGTTCGAAGATTGACGCAGGGAATCGTGTAGAGATGGGCTGGTCACATTGATACGCTAGGCTCGGAGTGGGACTATATCGGAGGCAGGCACAGCCACGGGCTTGGGGACACAGCTGAGGGTACAGAGTTGCAGATAGGTCATGGACAGACATGTCCCTTTATAGTCATACAGCCATCTCCCCACGATGGACCAGTCATTGTCATATCATTCATCCCCAACACACATAAAGCGTCGCCCTCGACATGTAATCGCCTCAACCAAGCAAACCAAGGGAACCAGGAAACTTGTAGAAACCATCATCAAGAAAACATTCAAAACTTCAGACACTTGGCCAGCCGTCATGTGCGGGGGCCTTGAACACGAGCACAAACCCATCACAAAGGAACATATCGAGAATCAGAACATCAGCTCAAGAATCCATCAAACACTCGGCCAGCCGTCATGCGGGGCCTTGAACACGAACACGAAAACCGGTCTCAAAGAAACACATCAAGAGCCAGAGCATCGGCTCAAGAATCCATGGAAAGAAATCAGATTCAGAAAGGAACCATCAAACTTAAGAGCAACACGTCTTGGCGAACCTCGCCACCTCCATGGGGCATCTCAACAACTCGACCTAATCTGACCCATCGGCGCTCGGTGCGCCCCCCCAACAATAGAGACAATGCCATGCCCAGTACATCGGAATTGCTACGTGGGCTTCGCTCATGCTCTGCCACGTACTCGCTTGACACTGTGGTAACCCTCGACCCCGTACCAGTGTGACGGGTCTCCATGTAGGACCACACTGTCAGCTGGCACGAGCTGACAAGAGTCGCCGTCCTGCTGACTCTTCATCACGCAACCCTTGCTGCGGGGCCGTGCGTGCTGTGTGCACGTGATCTCTCCGACACAGCCATCCACTCAAGTTACCACTTCCGACCAATGGCGTGGCTCACACTCGCCCATCACCGCTCAGCGGTGCCGTGTTGGCCTCCATTGCAACTCTGCCATCGTAACTCCAGCGAATGCACAACCGCGGCGTTGACGAAACTGACCCGCGCGTCGTCCACCGCCCTCAGTCACGCCTTTGTTGCGCTCGCCTCAGCTCTCGCGCGACCGCTCCATGTCCATCGCTGGATGCTATTCATCACGTCACCACTCCCACGCACCACAGCATGAGGCGGCACAACGCTCGCGCGCGTCTCGGCGTCACACCATGCCACGCAGCTGCATAGTCCTGCAATCCCACCCCTGCCTCGGGTGCCACATGATACGCTAGGCTCGGAGTGGGACTATATCGGAGGCAGGCACAGCCACGGGCTTGGGGACACAGCTGAGGGTACAGAGTTGCAGATAGGTCATGGACAGACATGTCCCTTTATAATCATACAGCCATCTCCCAACGATGGACCAGTCATTGTCATATCAACATCAGGATGTAAAGACGGTCATTTAAAGCATTTGCAGCGGTAGTACTCCATGCGCTTGACCAACAAAGCTAGCAACATATTTTCGCAGTACTCCTGTGCCTTGGCTGCGTTTGTGATCTAAAGGCAGCAAAACACTTTCCACTATACTTGCATTAGTACTTTGCGGTGGTTAGTGTAAGACTGGGCAGAAAACTGCTGCCCTCGGAACACACGAGATGCTAGTCCAAGGAGGGTTTTATTCACATCTTCTATATGCCAGTATCAGCCATACACATCAGAGCATGCCAGCCATTGACCAACCTTCCGCTTGTATTAAATACCACAAAAATATGTTCTCAACTACAAGGCCGGATATCCGCGCGCTGCGCAAGCGCGGTCCTCTGATTAACCCGACGGTGTAGCATATGCGGTCGGCTGAACCACCCACATATTCCTTGATAGTTGTGACACAATACATATAACCGTACAATGTGCTAGAGCCAAATAGAAATAGTCTTTGAGACGTTGGCAAGCAGTTTAATACAAGCTAGTTTGAATATGAGTTGAATGTGTTCAATCGCAGCGACCTTCAAACACTTGGATTTGGATTCTTAGGATCAAGTTAAGCGCACCAATTAGTGCATGAAATACTGCGCTAGTCGGTGCATGAAATCGTACACCAATTGCTGGAAGATTGAATGCAACGGTCACTGTACCAATCTGTGCATCAATTGATGCACCAACAGGTGCAATGACTGCAGTGTAAAAACGAAGGCAAGCTTTTGAGGGATGGAACATAATCACCTGGACTCATGTTTTAGGGTCCAAGTTATGCGTATTGAGGGGATGTCATGCACCATCTCGAGTTAGTGCCTTGGCACTGCATGGTTGGCCTTTACAGCGCTTCTTTTTACACGTTGCGAACAATAGCGTTTCAGCACTTGCTCAAGATCAAATAGTGTCCACAGAGCGGTGCACAGCGGAGGTGCAAGTGGAGAATAGATTCCGTTAATATTGTCCATTATTCGTGAGAGACCTTATTTTTGTTTGTTTTGGACGAGGATTCTCGTTGCAGGTCAACATTCATTCTGTTTTCCGTTCGATGTTTTTTTTTTCCTGGATGTTTCTTCATCCGTGTTGATATGGGACACAAGTGAGCGCTTAGGAGCAAGCACATTGGAGCGTGCCTGCAACGAGCCGTCCGTGCTGGGAGGGGCGAGGGCAACGCCCAAGGCGTGGCAGCCCAAGCGCTGGCTGCGGGCGCCTTGGTTGCCTTGCGATTGACTGCCGATTGACCGCCAATTGATGGGCACCATAGCAGGCGATCGCCGCAGCGAGGCACATCGTGGAATCGTCTGCTGTGTTGGCCAAGTTTGGCACCTCGATCGCCACTGGATTGCCAGTCAATCGGAGACTACGGCTGTGCAGGCGTTGTGGGCGATTGAGCCGCATATGGGCAGCCAATTTTGGACAGCATCCCGCCGCTCACACCTTCCCCGATCGGCAGTGGGCGCCGGAGGGAGCAACCGCCCGGGCGGTGCAAATGCTCATGTCGTGCATTGTCGCACGGGTATCGAGGCTGGGAGCCCACGGGGCGGGAGAGCGCCCCCCGGATTGATGCCTCACGGGCTGCCAATCACGCCTCCCATGGGGGATTCAAATGCCCCCGCCGGCAGGGCCCGGCTGGCCGGCCAGCTAGCTACCTGCAAGCCACAGAAAAGTTACACAGTTTGGTGCCTCGTAGCCACCGTTTTGCGCCGGCCGTGGTGGCCTAGAACAGCATCAACAGGCGATGCAAATGGGCGCCCACAAGGCGCCAGAGAAGCGGGCCGGTTGGCGCCTCGCGGGCGCATGTTTGCGCCTCCCAACGGCCAGTTGGAATGGCCCCCCACCTATTGCACAAAAGGGCGCAGGCGAGGTGCAACAGGCACAAAAATATAGGCGCCTCGCGGGCGCCCATTCGCAGCAGCCGAGGTTGCCCAGAGTGGGCGATGCTAATGGCGTGAGTGGGCGGCTGCTAGGCACGAGATGTGCCGCATGATCGGCGCCTCAATGGCGCGGAATCACGCCACCCACCCTGCCTTGAAATAGGTCCTAGCGGTTGCGCGAATAGGCGCCCACGAGGCAAGAAATGCCCGGAGGGTTTTGCGCCTCATGGGTGGCTATTCGTGCCACCCCCTGTTGCCTAGAATGGGCCTCGCCGATGGTGCGAATGGCCGCCCACGAGGCGCGAGATGCGCCGCACGATAGGCGCCTCACCAGTGCCCAAACACCCCAACCACCTTGCCTTAAAACGGCCCCTACCTATAGCACGCTTGATAGCTCGCGAGCCGTGAGAAGGTGAGAGGGATTGGCGCCTCGCGGCCGCCCATTCCCGCTGCCCACGGAGGCCTGGAATGTAGAGGTGGCCACCCGGATCCGTTAATAGCGGACAGAGGTTAATTTCCGTTAATTTTCCGTTAAATAACGGGAAATAACGAAAAAAGACAAAAATTAACCAAAACTTAACGGATTTTTGGATTTTTTAGGGATTTTTGGGTTTTATTCATACTTATAGTTTATGGAATTCGCTATTACAGAGTATGTTTGTATTTTATTTCAACCTATGCATACTAGATTTTCAACTAGCCATAGTTGTTGTGATTTTTTGGGGGTTTTTTCGATTTTTTTGGATTTTTTTGTTTTTTCTGAATTTTTCTCCCTTTTTCTTTAACGGAATTTAACGGACAGCTGATAAAAATTAACGAACCGGACTTAACGGACCGGATGGCATCTTTGAGTGGCCAGCTCTACTGGAATGGCTTCAGCCTGTCTGTGATGCACATGGATGCCCATGAGGCGCCAGACAAGCTGCCGGATTGCAGAATTGCCAGTCAAGCGAATGGGCGCCCGCGAGGCGCGAGAGGTGCTAGAGGATGGCCCCTAACGGGCGCCCATTCTTGCCATCCGCACTTGCCTGGAATGGGGCCCGCCGATGGTGTGAGTGGGCGCCCGCAAGGCCGCACGATCGGCGCATCACTGGCGCCCAATCGTGCTGCTGGCCTTGCATTAAAACGGGGCTGGGGTTGGCACGGTTGGCCGCCCAGGAGCTGCGCAATGCGCCAAGAAATTCGCGCCTCATGGGCGCCCATTCCCGGCTCCTGCGGCGGCCGGGAACGGCCTCCGCCGCTAGCGGGA